GGTCCCAGGTTTGATTCCGGTGAAGGGCATTACCTTGCGTTTAGAGGCACATCCCCAGTAGGTGTGCAAGAGGCAACTGATTGATGTTTCTCTCTCATGGATGTTTCTAACTCTCTATCCCTCTCCCTTCCTCTCTGTAAAAAATCAATAAAATATATTTTTAAAAAATTTAAAAAAAAGAATGAGAGCTGAAACCAAAGGCTCTGCCCCACGTCTCCTGTCCTCAGTCTCCACATCTGTCAAATGGGAAACCACCTGTCCTACTTCACAGAGCTGGGGAGAGGGAGGTCAGGTGAAAACACGCGGATGCCAGGTTGCGTCACCTTTGCAGAGAAAATTCACCATTTCCTTTTGCCATCTTTAGTAGGCCAGTAGGGAGGTCACCTCTGTCCCTGCTACCCAGCTCAAGTACTTCCCTGAGTCGTGTACAGAAGAGATCTGGCCCCTAACTGAACCAAGACAGGTTGAATGACCAGCCCTAGGTCGGGGGTATTGAATGGCAAGCCCTAGGTCGGTTTATCTGAGCAACACTTCCTCTACTCAGGCTGGAAAGAGGCCTCTGGATGTTGGCTCTGCTCATGGCCCCATAAGTGTTGCTCACACACCACCCCTAGCCTTTTCACTAGCAGTCACCCACCTGTACCCCATTCACTTTCTCACCTCCTTGTTCACCCAGCGCAGATTTCAAGGCTCATTATTGTTGTAACTCTGGCTCCTCCCTCCCCCTGTTGTGTCCTCCCAGCAGGGCCCCCACTCAAGCAGCTGTCCCCTCCACTTCACCCAGGCTGCTGAGCGCAGCAGGAACACTGAGCTCACTGCATAGCTACGTCCACACACCTCTAACAAGGCTGCCAGCCCCCAGCCATCCCCACTACCCATGGTGTTTGCTTCTCCCTCCCTCCCTCTAAAAGACCATTCTATTCCTTCTCATCTCCCAAAACACTTACACCTCCCCACTTCTTGTCTTTTCCACCAATGACTGTCTCATTCTTCATTGAGAAAATAGAAGCAACAAAGCAAAGGTTTCCCACCATTGGCCCGCTTCCATTTAGACCCACACTCCCCCCTTTCCCTCTGTTACTGTGGTTAAACTGTCTCTACTCCAAGAGAAAGGTCAACCCTCCATCTGTGCTTTGCATCCCAGGCCCTCTTACCTTCTCAAGGACCTTGCTCCTGAATTTACTTTTTCCTGTGTCTGCAATTTTGTTCTCCCTTTCTACTGGACCATTGAATCACACACATGTTTTCATATCTCCTGTCCTTAAAAAAAACTCACTTCCTTGATCCCACATTTCCTTGTAGCTCCTGTTCTATTTGTCTGTTCCCCATTACAGCAAGAAGACTTATTTGTAGTCCTCACATCACAGTCTCTCCCTAACCTACTCTGAGTGGACTTCGGTCCTTATCCCTACACTTAGTCTGCTCTTGCAAGAGCACCAGTAACCTCCATGTAGCCTAATTCAGTGGCCACTTCTCTGTTCTTATCTTACTGGATCTCTTAGCATCTCCTAAGAGACAGTTGACCACTTCCTCTTTCCCTTGGTTTCATGGTACTCCTCTCTCCTGAATGTCCACCAACCGCACCTAATGTATCTTCTCTGCCTCTCTGCTGGCCCCTTCTTCTCTGCTTGATCTCCAAACATTGAAATGCCCAAGAGCCTTATCTTTGGCCCATTTCTTTCCTCCTCCATCCCTAAGTGACCTCATTGTGTAGCTTTAAATAAAATCTGTATGCTGAGGACTCCCAATCCATCCTCTATAGAGAATGCTTTTCCTTTGTTTAAAATTTTCAAAAGGCCTCATCATCCTTAGAAACTTGTTTTCCTAGTTTGTAAGCCCTACATGATCTGCCCCGCTCAACATGGGGCCTGGCAACTAGATCTCCTTCTGCTGACAGATAACTGATAAAGGATACAGGACACCTTCTAATTAGGGGCATTTGGGGGCATGAGTGTGTAGAAGATGTGCTCCAGAGGGGAGGGACTGGAGAATGCTGTGATGCATGGGAAAGGAGTAGGGAAAGGAAGGAAAGGAATACACTTCTATAATCAGACTCCAGCTTGGAGAAGGTCCTGCTTCCATGGACAACCAATTGCTAAGGCAGCCCCATCAGCAGCAGGGTCTGTGGCAGTAGAAGACCACATCCACTCCACTGGATGGGTGATGGAGAGAGATGGGGGCTGGGTATTGTAGAGAGAGAAGAGGAGAAGGAGGAATAGCTGCCATTTTTCAAAATTCAATAGACTGCCTATAGCTGGGGCCAAGCAGAGGGCATGGCAACCAAGAATTTAGCCACAGCCTGGGCTCGTAAGAAGTTGAGCTGGGACAAACGTGCCTTGGCTGACATGGCAGAGACTGGGAACCTCAGAACCCCATGACCACAGCTGGGCTCCTTCTCCCCAAAGCCAAGTGCTCTGTACTCTTCTCTTATGCCACCCAAGTGAGGAAATAAAAGCCCCTGCTATCCATGGGAAAACACATGGAGGTATGTCTTACTGTTGTCCAAGTGGTTGGCCTTAATGATCTTCTCTGAGTAGTCAGAAATACTGGAGCATTCAATCTAGAAAGACACAGAACAAAGGAGCAACGCATCAAAAATACAACCAGCACCAAGTTAAGGAACGGAGAAGCTGAGACCTACAGGGGTGCAGTAACATGCCCACAGCTGTCACTGCTAATCTGTGGCAGATTAAAAACTACAATGCAGCCCTCCCAACTTGTGGGGTGCCTTCACAATGGAGGCCCGTGTCTAAGTTGGGAGATTCAGGAGGCGCTGGCAGACCTCACTCTCCTGACCAGGGAAGCATTGGATGAGGTGGCACAGCCGCTGTCCTCCTGGGAGAGCATGTAGAACCGACCAGAGGTGCTGTGAGCCTCCCTCGATGTTATCTTCCCACCACCCCCAACCCCCAGCCCTCACTGGTTAAACTTGGAACATTCCAGGATAGGGAATATCTGGAAAATGCCAAGTCAGGGCCTTGGGGCCAGTCTTAAGATCCCCCCCATCCCTTCCCCCCACCCCCCCCACACACAAGTTAACTCTCACCTCTTCTGATTCTTTTTAATCTAAAAGTCTTTCCATACTCCCAAAATCTGAGCAGAGGGCCAAGGTATTTGAGGGAGTAGTTGGTAGTTGACCATCAGCTGAGAGAAGGCCATTGTGGGAATGCAGGAGATCAAACCCCAGCCTGGGGGTTAGAGGCCCTGGGCATGCCAGGGAGGGTCCGGAGGCACTGAAAACAGAGGGGCAGCTGCCAAGAGCTGTTCTCACCTCTTTAGCCGCCCCCCTACAGAGACCAGACTGCTGAGTCCTGGTTCACCTCACCTTCACACTCAGGCCCCACCTCAGACTGCCCCAGGGCCTTGGGCATTTGCATAGGGCCACTGAGGGGTTGCTTGCAGCCTCCTCAAAGCCTGAGGTAAGGTGAGGGCACCTCCAGGGTCAAAAGAGGGAAACTCTGGTAGAGGAGGCAGACCCTAGCCAAGCTCAGACCCCAGAGGACCGGCCTTTCCTGAGCTACCAGGCTCCGTGGCCACAGTCCTGTTGCCTGCAGGACTGCTTCTCTCCTTTCCCTTGCCTCGCCACGTTTCATCCCTTCTGCAAGAGGGTACTGAGCTTAGCCTTGGAGAACATGGGACCTGGAACCAGACAGCCTGGATTTATATGTGGCCTCTGCCGCTTTCTAGCTGTATCTTGGTTTCCTCACTAAGTCACAGGTCCTTCTCACATGGTCAAAGGGAGGATGAAACACACATGGGACGCAGGAGGCTGCACTCATATTCTTTCCACTTTTTCTTCTTCTTACCTCTACCTTTACTTTTCCCCCCTCTCTTTTCTTTAGTCTCTCTTCATTTCCCCCATTTTCATTTGTTTTCTAGTTTCTTTTCTTTCTCCTTTTTGTTAGTCCCTCTCCCAGTCCTGTAGCTTTTCTGTGAGTCTTTCCATCCTTCTGTCTCTCTCTCTCCATTTCTCTCACATCTGTCTCCCAGTTTCACTGTCTCCATCTGCTGTCTCTGTCAATTTCCTCTCTCCCTCCCTAGCTCTCTCCCCCTCTCTCTTCCCTCTTTCCTGCCATCCCAGCTTCCCTACTGGAGAAGAGCTGTGGGTGGAAGGGGGAGCCTGGCACAGGAGAAACTGAACTGTGAAATGAGCCAGCCTGAAAGAAGCCCGGCTAACTGTGGCGGAGCTGTTTATAAAAGAGCTGTTATAGCAGAAGAGCGGGAGGCAGCCAGGTTGGGACCAGTCACCACAGCTGGAAGGCGCCTGGTGGGACCTTCCTGACAGCTCCTTGGCCGGAGCCCCTGCCAACTTGGAAGCCCCAGCCGACTTGGAAGGCGGTGACAGGTGGCCCTGCCTCTCCCTGTGCAGCCCTCCGCTCCCCCGTGTCTAGCAGAGACTGGGGCTGAATCAGGGCCTGTCAGCACTGCGAGGAGGCGCTCCGGGGTCAGCATGCAGTCTCACCGCTCTGTGGCAGTGTGAGCTCCTTGGCAGTGGAGTCTGCCATGGACAGGAGGCCTCCACCCTGGTGAGCGGGGCCTTGCCAAGGGAAGCCGAAAGGTGGGGAGGGCAGTACCTGTGGTGATGACAGGACTTGACCTTGGGCATCAGATTGGCCCCATACCCTAACCACATGCCTCAGCTGAGTGCATTATAGCTTTTCTGGTCCAGGTTTCCAGAAGACCCTCTACAGCTAAGGACCAAGTGCTTTCCAGGCCAGGCGTGAAGGAGGAATTCTGTTCCTGCTGAAGGGGGTTGACCAAGGGGATTTGGAGGGTCCTACTCAACCCAGGAGCCTGGGGTTCTCCGGACAGGCTCTCATGACCCAGCGAAATGCACAGAGAATCAGGCCCCACTGAAACCTGCCTAGCTGCCCGGGAGCCTCTGCAAAGGGGCCGCCTGTGCATAGGCTGTGAGTTTTTTATTGTAACTTGAATTTTGATTGAGATTAATTCCAATTTTCCACTTCTAGACCCACGGCATTTTTTCAATGTCAGCCAGCAGCACGGATCCCTCTTTTTCACAGAGGAATGCTAGGAGGTTCCTGGAGGGTCAGCCTCCACCTCTAGCCAGAGAGGCTGCAGCAGCCAGAGCAGCAGAATTAGATCTACCAAGTTGCCCTTTAAAGGACAAAGCAGGGGGTTTTCTTGTTGTTATCTCCTAGGGCCCTATCCCGACTATCCTAATAAACACTGAGCGTCTGTCCTATGCCAGTTCTGTTCTAAGCTCCTTACATATGTATTAAACTTTTCACGCCTCACAATGACCCCATGGGCAAGACACTATTTTCATGTCCATTTTATACATTGGGGAAACTGAGGTACAGAGAAGTGAATTGCCCACGGTCACACAACTCATGAATAGAAGAGCAGAGGTTCAGGCCAGAGCTCACACGTGTAATCATGCTGCACTGCCTCTCAAGCATTGTGAGGCGCTGATGACACTGAAATGGTTTCTGAAAAGTCAAAAATCCTCTGCAAATGTCAGCAGTCGCCAGGGCAAGGAGTGATGCCCGGGTGACGGGGAGCCATGGAGACTGTCCTGCCTCCTGAGGGGCACACTTGATTTTTCCCTTGAGTGTGTGACCTCAGCAGAGAGGTGGAGTAGGGTTTGTACTACTAGGAAGGGCTGAGGCCACTGCGAGGGGGGTGGGGGGTGGCATGCTCACCCCAAACACCTTCTTGGCCCCTGCTTTGGCAGCAAACATGGAAAGGATCCCGGTACCACTCCCGACGTCCAGCACCACTTTGTCCTTGAACACGTGCTTGTTGTGGTACATGGAGTTCCGGTAAGTGAGCGTCCGCACCTCATCCTTGAGCATTTCCTATATGGAAGGAAAGGAAAGTCAGTGTCAATGTATTCAAGGTACTTGGGAGTATGCCAGGGTCACGGGCCCCAGGACTGTCCCGCCAAATTCTTCAAGGATCTTCACTAGGCAAGCCACAGAAGAGTACTGTGGCACAGCTAGACCAATGGCTACCTGCATCATTACAAACAACTCCAGCCCTAAAACTCTGCTCAAGATAGCTTTGTACTATCAAAGGAGAAACTCATATCCAGACCTGGGAAAACTCCAATTTACCAAGAAACAAAAGAAAGTACTAGTAGGATGCAGCATGAGAGACTCAAGTTACACCTGAAGCAGAACTTCCTGCCATGGTGAGAATTTTGTCATTGAACAAGTTGTTAAAGGAGGCTTTTTGTGTGTATATTATTTTTGTTTGCTTTTAGGAAAAGAAAACATATTCATTTTTCTACCATTATTTAAGTGCTTTGTGGTAAGAAAGAAACTAGACTACCCATTACAGCTGCCTCCAGCCCAAGGAGAACATGGTTAATTTGTGTATGGTGATGAGGCAGGGGTCTTCATCTATTCAAGGTACCAGCAAACACTCTAAGTCATCACCAATAGCACTGGAATTTTTTGGTATAATTTTAGTATAGTTTTTAGTATAACCTGTGTACAATAAAAAGCACAGAATTCAAAAGTATAACTAAGTGTAAGAGTTTTTACAAATGCACACCATAATTAAGGTACAGAACTTTTCCATCACCCCAGAAAGTCTTTCGTGCCCGTTTGCAATTAATCCTCACTCCCACTCCAGACAACCAATGATCTAATTTCCATCACCAAAGCTTCCTTCTGCCAGATTTAGAACTTCATATAAATTGAATCATACAATATGTACATTTTTGTATCTGTTTCTTTTGCTCAAAGATTTTGAGATTCATTCATTTTCTTGCATGTATCCAAGGTTTGTTCCTTTTTTCTTGTTGCTACAGTTGTCATTCTTATTCTTGTTCTTGTTATTGACTAGTATTCCATTGTATGACCATATCCATTCACTTGTTGATGGGTATTTGGATTGTTATGAATAAAGGTGTTACATTTTCACATAAGCATTTTTGAGGATGCATGTTTCTATTTCCTTTGAGTAAATACCTAGAAGTGGGGTTTTGGGTCCTACGGTAGGTGTTTAATTATACTTAAAATTGCCTAACAGTTTTTCAAAATAGTGGTGCCATTTCATGATCCCACCAGCAATACATGAGAACTCAAGTTGCTTTACATGCTGACCAATTAGACTTATCAGTCTTTTTAATATTAGTTATTATAGTGCAGTGATTTTCAACCTTTTTCATCTCATGGTGCACATAGAGTAATTACTAAAATTCCATGGAACACCCAAAAACATATTTTTTGTGGATCTTACAAAAAATAGGTAATTTTGATTCATTCACACTGGACAGCTATTGTTGTGTTGGCTCTTGTCACTTTTTTATTTGACAATCTAAGGGAACAGAGGTCAGATACTGCATGTTTAAAAATTCTTGTGGCAGCACACCAGTTGAAAATTGCTGTTATAGTGGATATAAACTAGTATCTCATTGTAGTTTTAATTGCATTTCCATGATGGCTATTGATGCAGACAATTTTTTTCATGTGTTTATGGATTCTTCATATATACCTTCTTTTGTGAAGTGTCTTCATTTTTTTTCTTGAGCTATTTGCTTTTCCTTATTGAATTATAGGAGTTTATATATTCTGGAAATGAATCCTTTATCAAATGTACATATTGTGAATGTCTTCTCCAAATCTGTGATTTGCCTTTTCATTTTCTTAATGTTGTCATTTGAAAAGCAGTTTTTAATTTTGATAAAGACCAATTTTTTTTAGTGTTTTCTTTTTTTAAATTTTGTTTTATTGCTTAAAGTATTACAAAGAGTATTACATATATCTCCTTTCCCCCCCACCCCTTGACCTTCCCCCGGCCTCCCCTACTCCCCAGTGTCTTGCGTCCATTGCTTATGCTTACATGCATGCATACAAGTCCTTCGGTTGATCTCTTTACCCCCCCCCCCCCGCCACCAACACTCCCTGGCCTTCCCGCTGTAGTTTGACAGTCTGTTCCATGCTGCTCTGCCTCTGTAACTATTTTTGTTCATCAGTTTATAATGGTCTTTATTATCCATAAATGAGTGAGATCATGTGGTATTTTTCTTCAGCATGTATGGAACTGGAGAGCATTCGTTTTTTCTTTTATGATTAGAATTTTCTGTGCCCTGCCTATTCTTTGTCTACCCCAAGGTCACAAAGATATTCTCTTATGCTTTCTTCCAGAAGTTTCATAGTTATGGCTTTTACTTTTAGGCTACAATTCATGTCAAACTAATTTTTATACATAGTGTAAGTTAGGGATGTGAGTTCATTTGCTTCATACAAGTAGATGGCTCAAGCACCAGGCTTCATTTTCCCCACTGAATTACATGGGGGAGATCCTTTGGAACAATCCTTTCTTTGTTTCAATTATGTTGCCACCTTTGTAAAAGTCAATTGACTATATATGTGTGTCTTCTCTGATTTGTTCCATTAATATACCAGTTCAACACTCACTTGATCACCATAGATTTATATTAACTTTGAAATAAAGTAATGTCAGTTCTCCAACTTAGGTATTGTTTGACATGATTATTTTGTTTTTTCTAGAACTTCATCATTTTCATATACATTTTAGAAGCAGTTTGTTAATTCATACAGAATAGCTTGCTGGAGTTGTTTGGGACTGCACTGACTCCTATAGAGCAATTTGGGGAGAATTGATATCTTAGGAATATTGAGTCTTACAATCCAAGAACACAAATACAGCTCTCCATTTATTTAGGTCTTGTTTAATTCTCTCTTGGCAATATTTTATAGATTTCAGTATAAAGGTCTTGTATTTTTAAACTACTAATAAAGTTATTCTTAACTATTTTATGGCACTGTATACAACATATTTTAATTTTTACTTTCCAATTGTTAGTTTATATATTGGCCTTGTATTTTGCAACTTTGCTCCTTTACATATTGATTCCAATAGGATATTTTGGTAGGTTCATTAGTTTTTTTACGTAAAAAAAGCTTGTCACTTGTGAACAAAGACAATTTCACTTTTTTTATCCTATCTGTATGCCTTTTATTTCTTCCTTCTTCTTCTTTTTATCAAAATCTGTCTTTATTAAAGTGAACAAATCATCAGAGTCCTACCCAAACTCAGTGAGCGATGCTGAATCTGCTCCCCTTGCCCGCCTTCAACCAGGCCAACACCAGCTCCCAGCTGGCCTAGCAGTCCACAGTAGGAAGAGTGGCTCTGCACTGTCACACAGCACAGATGTTGCACATTTCAGTGCTTTTAGTGAATTGGTGTCTTCAGTAAACATTTTCTGAGCAGCAAAGACAAGAATTGTTTTCAGAAACCTTAGAATTGGATATAAACATTGGCAATAAACACAATCAATAAATATCATACCATTTCCCAAATGAACAAGACCCCCCAGTGCGAGTTCTTTTCCTGAAGACATTCAAACATCCTGACCAGAGAGTCTGCCTCGGTCCTCCAACCACACAAGGTCTCAAATGCCCGCGTGTGGGGGTCAGGCCTTGAACAGAGGGGCGTGTGATGAGAGGCCAGAAAGCAAAGTAAATCACTTTTAATAGATACTGAAGAACTTCAAATAAAAGGAATCCTGCCACACACACATCCCTCATTGGCAGCTGCAGGGACAGCGGAGACCACAGCAGCTATGCCCTGGACCCGGCGTGTGTCCCTGCATCCCCGTTCCATCTTGCCTTTTATTTCTTGTTCTTTCCCCCTTGCTATATTGCACTGGCAAGGATGGCCATTCAGTAATATGTTAGGCATCCTTCCTTTGTTCTAGTGACATACAAATGTCACCATTAAGTATAATTTTAGCTGTGGCCTCTCCATAAATGTCTTTTACCAGACTGAAAGATTATCTTCTACATTTGATCTTAGCCAAAAGGCCAAGAAGCGATGATAAGTTATCTTCTATTTCTAATTTTCTGAGAGTTGTTATCATAAATTGGTGTTGAATTTTGTCACATACTTTTTCTACATTTTTTTGATATGATTACCACTTCTCTCCTTTATTGTGTTAATGTATTGAACTCCAAAGATTGGTTTCAAATGTTGCATCAACTCTTTGTCATGATGTATTTATCTTCTTAAATATTGCTGGGCTTTATTTACTAATATTTTGTTGCAGATTTTTGTATCTGTATTTATGAGAGATATAGAATTATAACTTTCTCTTATCTTCTCTGATTAGTATGCTGAGCTAATCATACAAGTTAGGAAGTGTTATCTCTTTATACATTTTCTGAAAATGTTTGGATGAGATCAATGTTTTCCTTTTTTAAATGTCTGTATAATTCACCAGTAAAAACATCTGGGCCTGGAGTCTTTTTTGTGGGAAGATTTTAAATTATGAATTCAATTTATTTAATAGATAGAAGGCTATTTTCATTTTCTATGCATTCTTACATCAGTTTTGGCAGGGTGTTTTTTCCAAAGAATTTATCCATTTCTGTTAAGATGTCAAATTTATGGGTATAATCCTATATAATAAAAGCCTAATATGCAAATTTCCCCTTCGACTGTCCATTATGATGTGTGCTGACCACCAGGGGGCGGCACGGAACATGGCTAGCGTTGACGATGTGGAGGCACTGCTGGCCCCGATGGGCCCCGACGAGAGCCTGGCGGGATGGTGGAGCAGGTGAGTGGGCAACACCAGGCCAAGGCGGGTGGGAGCGGGGCCTGATTGCCCTGCCGATCACCCCACAGGTGGAAACCAGCAGCAGCTCTAACACTTTCATTACAGAGAAAGGGTAAATAGCAATATTAAAATATTTCTTCTAATTATTTTCCTTTCAATGTGTAAAAATCCATGCACCAAGCCACTAATACTGTTATAATAGTCTCTAATGACTGTTGGGTGTCTTTATGATCTGTAGTAATGTCCTTGCCTTCATTAATTTAT